GCCTCAGGTTTTGGCGTGTGTTCATAGTGGTGTCAGGTAGAGCCATTTTAATTAGAACAGCTTCTTGGGTGGCTCCTGGGTGATGGATTGTTTCTGTTGGACATACACTTATAAATCATCTGGCTCTGACAGACAGTCAGACCCAGACAGACAGACCTCTGGCAACCGAGTGGCACTGGTCTGGCGTCAGCTTTATATATTAGCCACGTTAGCTCTCCTAGCAACGGTTAGCGTGGCTAACCTTTGTTGTTGTTAGCATTTTTGGTTATGATTGGACCTTAACTAGTGCTAATATGGATATCAACCCTTGTTATTTGCATTGTTATCCCTGTTAGCTCCGCTGCTATGGCTCCTTTTCCCACCATTCAGGTCAGGATTAAGACACGTGGCGAGTGTCTGTCATCAATCATTGTGGTCGGTTTCGGTGGCCGTGTGTCTCTCATCCATCACAATGATAGGTTTCGGTGGCCGTGTGGCTGCGTGTCACCATCAGGGCCGGGGGTAATTAATAACCCCACAGACTGAATTAATGACTTAACCTGTTCCACTCTCCTGCTGTTTTAATAACAGATGCTAATGGTTAGCGCCTAGTTAGCCCCAGTTATTGGCCAGAGGCTCAAGTTTTGGGATTTGTATGTGTTTTTTAAATCTGTTTCACTTTCTCTCTCTCTGTGTGTGTGTGTGTGTGTGTGTGTGTGTGTGTGTGTGTGTGTGTGTGTGTGTGTGTGTGTGTGTGTGTGTGTGTGTGTGTGTGTGTGTGGGAAGGGGGGAGTGTGTCCATTACTTTGAAACCTGTTTTATTCAGGCTGTCTGCTAGCTGGGGTATAAACCCCTACTCCCTTGGACTAGTAATGCTTTGGTGTTTCTTATGGCTTGTCATCAGGGGCATCCGACTCTGTTTCCTTGGAGCAGAGAGAGAGAGACTAAGGAGAAAAAGGAGAGGGATTCTGTTAAAAGAAAGAAAGAAAGTCTGAAAAGAACATACTGGCTCTTTAAGGTAGAGGAAAGAAGGAGAATCTCTCTTTTCCCTCAGGTTTGAAAACCGATCGCTTCGTTGTGAAAGAAAAGGCTTTGTGAGGACGCCTCAGTCCCCTTCAGAAGAACACTCACTGTCTGTTATGACTGAGACAAGAGCCGCTGAATTTCAACAACAAAAGAAAACAAAGCGTTTTGATGAAAGGGGGAAACGATGTAGTTTGAACTTTATTCTTTTTCGGTTTGAAGGAAGCAATTGTTCTGTCTGGCCAAGCCCAGTTTATGTGTGTGTTGCGTGTTGCATTCTTGGGTTTTGGCCGGCTATTCATGGGGTTCTTTCGTTCTTTCTCTCATGCTTTATGTCTCGAGTGTATAGGAAGCTTTGTTGTGTGGCCTTGTGAGTCGGTATCTGCCATGGTTTGCGTGCGGGTCACTTGGTGAAATTTTAGGAACTGGATGTGTGTGTTGGTGTATTTCAGTTGGCTGCTGTGGAGGATGTTGTGGGCTATTCGAAGACTAATGTGTAGGTAGTTGTCATTGTGTGGAGAACATTGAGTTTTTAGTCGGTGGGTGTGTAGGTAGTTAGTTGTCATTGTATCTCCAGCTTTTGTGTGGTTTTTGCAGATGGTTGCGTCGACAGTTTTATTTTGAACAGAAGTTTTCCCCTTTCCCGTCATCTCACGCGGTGAGTAGAACCCCCACCACCCCGACAAAACGACTCATTAACTCCTACAAACCCCCTCTCCTTATCCCACACCCCCAAATGTGCTTCAGCTTACAGACAACACAGAGAGAGGAGAGAGGGGGTGACAAAGAAAAGACTAAAGCAATAGAGGAGGGTTGAATGAGTGAAAGAAGCGAGAGGGATGAAGGGAAGAATGCGATGTCCCAGTCTATAAGGGATTCCATTTTGAGCCATTCCAGAATAGAACAGTAAGTCACCAGTCCCTTTGTCTGCCTTTCATCTCCTAGCACCAGGATCTGGCACCTGACAAAACCCTACCGCTCTGAAAGGAGGCATGGGGAGAGAGAGAAGGAGTTGGAGTTGAGAAAGAGGGAGGGAGGGAGGGAGGGAGGGAGGGAGGGAGGGAGGGAGGGAGGGAGGGAAAGAGACATGAGGAAAAGAAAAAGGAGATTTAGATATAGAGAGAAAGCCTATTACAGAGGGAAGGATTTGTGAATGCTAAAGGAGAATCAGACGATATAATGAGGGCTCCTTAGCTAGATTTGATAAAAATATGAATTTCTCTATGTGTGTGCGTGTTGGTCAAGGCCGGTCTGGGCGGTGATAAATCCATGCAGTCTTAAGGGAGATTCCTTAGTAAAGCCCCAGTCTTCCAGACCACCCAGCATTGCGGTCTGTCTCATGCACACACACACGCACGCGCGCACACACACACACACACACACACACACACACACACACACACACACACACACACACACACACACACACACACACACACACACACACATACACACACACTCCTAATGGGAAGCAATTCCCTGGCTTAACTAGGATTTCTCTTCCCAGTGCCTTTTCCTTTTCTGCAGGGCAAGGCGCTATTATAAACACTTCTCTATGTTGACATCCCCTTTCAAACTATTTCCAAGATGCAAAATTCAGACCACAAATGAAGATGCCAACCCATCTCTATGTGGAAGGGGGATTTTGAGGGTTTGCAAATAATTCTGCTGAAGAATAAGGCGGGGGCTATTTGGTAGTGGAGGTCACCTCAGGACAGATTGATAATCACAGAGTAATAAAAGAATCAGCGGTGCACAGTGTGAGCTGGACCTCTCCTCACAACACTCTCAACCTCTCTTTCTAATTACACAGAGGCCATGGCTCAAAGACCTAGAAGCATGGACCTCAATTAACTCTCACCCCAGCTTTCAGTGAGGGGTGATCAGTCTAAACCAGCTGGATCTCCCCCCTGCCTCCCCTGGTCAGCTTCCTGGTCATAGCACATTGACAAAAAACCCTCCTAAACCTGACGTTTCTCTTAAAACCCTCAAAACGGTCACAACCCCTCAACACAATACCCGTCTCTGTCGTGCCTCTGTGACACATTTGGGTGTTAAAGATTGTCAAAGATCCTTAACAGATAGAGAGATAACACAAAGCACCTTCCGTTTTAATCCTCTCCTCTGTCTTCCACTGTGAGAAGAAGACTATAGGCTCTCCTCTCCTCTAACCCCTGCCGGCTTGAATCAAAGAGGACCTTAGCGCTGAGCGTTAACTGGTGAAGCGGCAATGATTGGGGCTGATTGACTGAGAGGGGATGAGGAGATAAAGACTCAGCAGGTAGCAGCAAGCCGGGCTGAGCTGGGCTAGGCTGGGCTGGGCTGGGGGCTACCAGAGGCTACGCTAATCCTGTGGCTAGCTAACGCTAACGGGGGAGGGAGAGAAAGACAGGGAAAGGAGCCCAGTTTCATTGTTGTGCCTCAAAGTAAAGAATTTCTCTCACTTTTTGGAGTTTGTGAACATCCTTGTGTGTTTGTGTGTGTGTGTGTGTGTATGTTTTCTTTGGATGGTTTGGAATGTGTATTATCTTTACGGTGGAATTCCTCTTGTGTGATTGTGTGGTGTGAGTGAAAAGGCATGAGTTTGGGTTAGTGTGGTAGATGCATGTGGAACTTTGTTTTGAACCCTACTCAAAGTGTACGTGTTTTGCATGTCGTATTTTCTTCATTAATTTATGAATGTGGATTTACAATTTCATGCCTTTGAATGCAGGACTTTGTGGGACTGATAGACAAACCCAGCCTAGTATAAAACACTCAGATGATTACACACTTTTATTCTACAGGGAAAACGATCCCTCTCCACCCACACAACCACACACACACAGAAACACACACGCCTCCCACTCTCCTAAACCACCAGCCCTCCAGCCCCAGGGCTCAATGCCATTCGCTGGTCCTGCAAAGTACCCGGCCGCCTCAGTGATTGACAGGCTATTTGGCCCAATCGATGTCCTGGCTGTCTGAACCTCACCTCTCACAGAATCCCTTTTTTGTCCTACTCTTCTGGTCCAGTGCTCTTGGGTGAAATACAACCCTCTAGACTTCCCAGCTATTATGGAAACGGGTACAGTAGAGAGGAACTCCTTGAAAGCCGAGCCTTCAAATCAAGCTGTCAATCAAGAGAAAAGGGTAGCGCTGTCGCCAGAGTCAGAAAAGTGTCAGCTAGGTTACAATTTGAGGCATGTGTAGTGTAGTGTAGTGTAGTGTAGGCCTTATGGGCTGAGAACCTGGCTCAGAGGAGACACTGGGCCAAATGGGGTGACATTTGTTTGTTAATTGTGTTGGAATGTACAAAATCTGAGGAACCTAGGCACATCCAGGTATTTTCCCAGGTGCTGGAGTTGTAGGTGAACTCATGGAAAACAGAAAGGAAAACACTGCACACAGCTGCTCATGCTCCCAGGTGATATTTATTTATAACAACATTTACACCCTTAGGTCTTCATCAGGATGCATGATGAGGATGCCTGATGAAGACCTAAGGGTGTAAACGTTGTTATAAATAAGTATCACCTGGGAGCATGGGCAGCAGTGTGCAGTGTTTTCCTTTCTGTTTTCCAATTTTGTTGGAATGCCCATGGCTTTGGTTACATTGCACCTCGCAGCCCTGCCAATAAAGCATAGTTTAATTCTAGAGAGGGAGGAGGGGCGGTTATATGATATTTGTGTAACTCTTGTGTGGTAACTTCTCTCTTCTCTATTAGTTTGATGATAGCCAGCCATAAGGCATTGGTGAAATGTCTGGGCTTCAGAGGAGGAAAATTAAGACAGATGGGTAGAGTTAGAGAAAATGAATAGAAGATAGAAACTGCAGTCAGCTTGTTGAATCGCCCAACAAGAGAGAGAGAGGAAGAGAAAGATGTTAAGTAGATATGATCGAATGAAAGCAACATTCCACAGTGCGTGGGGTGTGTACTATTTGTGAGTGTGTGTGTGTATCTCTTTGTACCTTGCCGACTGACCTTGTCTCTCTCACTATCTGTGTTCTTGCAGCCTGTAAGATTGGCTACTACCGTGCCCTGGCCACAGACGGTGCCTGCTCCAAGTGTCCTCCCCACAGCTACTCTGTTAGAGAGGGATCCACGTCCTGTGCCTGCGACAAGGGCTACTTCCGCTCTGAGACTGACCCTGCATCCATGCCCTGCACCAGTAAGTGTACACACACACACACACACACACACACATAAGCATGCACACACACACGCAGCTCACATGCATAGTGGTTTGCACACACCGCTGGTGTTGCATTCTGATTCCAGGTGGTACTTAGTGATCAGTCAATGTGACATAGAACTAATTAGGAAATAAAACACTGCATCCAAGATTCACTCTTCCATCAGAGAGAGAGAGAGAGAGAGAGAGAGAGAGAGAGAGAGAGAGAGAGAGAGAGAGAGAGAGAGAGAGAGAGAGAGAGAGAGAGAGAGAGAGGCTTCAATCTATAGAGTCCCATCTACCAGGTGTGAAACAGGGAAGGGACTCAGGGGGTATGCTAATTTGGTATAGAGCAGACCTAACTCACTCTATTAAATTAATGAAAACAGGAACATTTTACATTTGGCTACAAATTCAAAAGGAAATGATCTCAACAGAGAAAAATGTCCTCCTGTGTGCTACCTATATAACCCCACTAGAATCACCATACTTTAATGAAGACAGCTTCTCCATCCTGGAGGGAGAAATCAATCATTTCTAGACCCAGGGACATGTACTAGTCTGTGGTGACCTAAATGCCAGAACTGTACAATAATCTGACACCATCAGCACACAGGGGGACAAACACCTACCTGGAGGTGACAGCATTCCCTCCCCCATATGCCGCCCTAGGCACAACTACGACAACATAACCAACAAAAACGGGTCACAACTCCTGCAGCTCTGTCGCACGCTGGGTATGTACATAGTCAATGGTAGTCTTCGAGGGGACTCCTATGGTAGGTACACCTATAGCTCATCTTTTGGCAGTAGTACTGTAGACTACTTTATTACTGACCTCAACCCAGAGTCTCAGAGCGTTCACAGTCAGCCCGCTGACACCCCTTTCAGACCACAGCAAAATCACAGTCTACTTGAACAGAGCAATACTCAATCATGAGGCATCAAAGCCAAAGGAACTGAATAATATTAAGAAATGCTATAGATGGAAGGAAAGTAGTGTTGAAACCTACCAGAAAACAATTAGGTAACAACAAATTCCTTTTAAACAACTTCCTGGACAAAACGTTCAACTGTAATAGTGAAGGTGTAAACTTGGCAGTAGAAAACCTAAACAGTATATTTGACCTCTCAGCTTCCCTATCAAATCTAAAAATCTCTAACAGAAAACCGACAAATGACAAATGGTTTGATGAAGAATGCAAAAACCTAAGAAAGAAATTCAGAAAACTATCCAACCAAAAACATAGAGACCCAGAAAATCTGAGCCTACGCCTTCACTATGGTGAATCACTAAAACAATACAGAAATACACTACGGAAAAAGAAGGAACAGCATGACAGAAATCAGCTCAATGTAATTGAAGAATCCATAGACTCTAACCACTTCTGGGAAAATTGGAAAACACTAATCAAACAACAACACGGAGAACTATCTATCCAAAACGGAGATGAATGGGTAAACCACTTCTCCAATCTTTTTGGCCCTATAACAAAGAACAATCCTCAATGAAATGATAAAATATACAGACAACAAATTCCAATTGGCTATCCTTAAACTATTTAACATCATCATTAGCTCTGGCATCTTCCCCGATATTTGGAACAAGGACTGATCACTCCAATCCACAAAAGTGGAGACAAATTTGACCACAATAATTACCGTGGGATATGCGTCAACAGCAACCTTGGGAAAATCCTCTGCATTATCATTACATTTACATTTTACATTTTAGTCATTTAGCAGACGCTCTTATCCAGAGCGACTTACAGGAGCAATTAGGGTTAAGTGCCTTGCTCAAGGGCACATTAACGTCATTTAGCAGACGCTCTTAGCCAGAGCGACTCACAAATTGGTGCGTTCACCCTATAGCCAGTGGGATAACCACTTTACAATTGGGGGGGGGGGGGGGGGGGGGGGGGGGGGGGGGGGGTAGAAGGATTCCTTTATCCTATCCCAGGTATTCCTTAAAGAGGTGGGGTTTCAAATGTCTCCGGAAGGTGGTGAGTGACTCCGCTGTCCTGGCGTCGTGAGGGAGCTTGTTCCACCATTGGGGTGCCAGAGCAGCGAACAGTTTTGACTGGATTTCATTAACAGCAGACTAGTTAATTTCCTCAGTGAAAACAATGTACTGAGCAAATGTCAAATAGGCTTTTTCCCAAATTACCGTAAGACAGACCACGTATTCACCCTGCACACCCTAATTGACAAACAAACCAAAACAAAGGCAAAGTCTTCTCATGCTTTATTGATTTCAAAAAAGGGTTTGATTCAATTTGGCATGAGGGTCTGCTATACAAATTGATGGAAAGTGGTGTTGGGGCAAAAACATACGACATTATGAAATCCATGTACACAAACAACAAGTATGCGGATAAAAAAACACACATTTCTTTCCACAGGGCCGTGGGGTGAGCCAGGGATGCAGTTTAAGCCCCAACCTCTTCAACATATATATATATATATATATATATATATATATATATATATATATATCAACGAATTGGCGAGGGCACTAGAACAGTCTGCAGCACCCGGCCTCACCCTATTAGAATCTGAAGTCAAATGTCTACTGTTTGCTGATGATCTGGTGCTTCTGTCACCAACCAAGGAGGGCCTACAGCTGCACCTAGATCTTCTGCACAGATTTTGTCAGACCTGGGCCCTGACAGTAAATGTCAGTAAGACAAAAATAATGGTGTTCCAAAAAAGGTCCAGTTGCCAGGACCACAAATACAAATTCCATCTAGACACCGTTGCCATAGAGCACACAAAAAACTATTCATACCTCGGCCTAAACATCAGCGCCACAGGTAACTTCCACAAAGCTGTGAACGATCTGAGAGACAAGGCAAGAAGGGCCTTCTATGCCATCAAAAGGAACATAAAATTCGACATACCAATTAGGATCTGGCTAAAAATAGTTGAATCAGTTATAGAACCCATTGCCCTTTATGGTTGTGAGGTCTGGGGTTCGCTCACCAACCAAGAATTCACAAAATGGGACAAACACCAAATTGAGACTGCATGCAGAATTCTGCAAAAATATCCTCAGCGTACAACGAAAAACACCAAATAATGTATGCAGTAGTCACACGCCTACAGTGATAACAAACACATTTTACATTTTGATCATCTTCCTCCATGACCATTGCCCCCTCTCTTTCCATCTTTCTCCCCTATAATCTCTCTTGTGAATCACATCACACACCTAGTTATACTATACGATCACCTTGGGTACATACAGTGCATTCGGAAAGTATTCAGACCCCTTGACTTTTTCAAATCAAATTTTATTTGCCACATGCACCGAATACAACAGGTGTAGACCTTAAACCTTTACATACACCTTAGCCAAATACATCTAAACTCAGTTTTTCACAATTCCTGACATTTAATCCTAGTAAGAATTCCCTGTCTTAGGTCAGTTAGGATCACCACTTTATTTTAAGAATGTGAAATGTCAGAATAATAGTAGAGAGAATGATTTATTTCAGCTTTTATTTCTTTCATCACATTCCCAGTGGGTCAGAAGTTTACATACACTCAATTAGTATTTGGTAGCATTGCCTTTAAATTGTTTAACTTGGGTCAAACATTTCGGGTAGCCTTCCACAAGCTTCCCACAATAAGTTGGGTGAATTTTGGCCCATTCCTCCTGACAGAGCTGGTGTAACTGAGTCAGGTTTGTAGGCCTCCTTGCTCGCACACGCCTTTTCAGTTCTGCCTACATATTTTCTATAGGATTGAGGTCAGGGCTCTATGATGGCCACTCCAATACCTTGACTTTGTTGTCCTTAAGCCATTAAGCCACAACTTTGGAAGTATGCTTGGAGTCATTGTCCATTTGGAAGACCCATTTGCGACCAAGCTTTAACTTCCTAACTGATGTCTTGAGATGTTGCTTCAATATATCCACATAATTTTCCTTCCTCATGATGCCATCTATTTTGTGAAGTGCACCAGTCCCTCCTGCAGGAAAACACCCCCACAGCATGATGCTGCCACTCCCGTGCTTCACGGTTGGGATGGTGTTCTTCGGCTTGCAAGCGACCCCCTTTTTCCTCCAAACATAACGATGGTCATTATGGCCAAACAGTTATATTTTTGTTTCATCAGACCAGAGGACATTACTCCAAAAAGTACGATCTTTGTCCCCATGTGCAGTTGCAAACCGTAGTCCGGCTTTTTTATGGCGGTTTTGCAGCAGTGACTTCTTCCTTGCTGAGCGGCCTTTAAGCTTATGTCGATATAGGACTCATTTTACTGTGGATAAAGATACTTTTGTACCTGTTTCCTCCAGCATCTTCACAAGGTCCTTTGCTGTTTTTTGGGGATTGATTTGCACTTTTCGCACCAAAGTACGTTAATCTCTAGGAGACAGAACGCGTCTCCTTCCTGAGCGGTATGACGGCTGCGTGGTCCCATGGTGTTCATACTTGCGTACTATTGTTTGTACAGATGAACGTGATACCTTCAGGTGTTTGGAAATTGCTCCCAAGGATGAACCAGACTTGTGGAGGTCTACAATTTTATTTCTGATTTGGCTGATTTATTTTGATTTTCCCATGATGTCAAGCAAAGAGGCACTGAGTTTGAAGGTAGACCTTGAAATACATCCACAGGTACATCTCCAATTGACTCAATTAGCCTATCAGAAGCTTCTAAAGACATTACATCATTTTCTGGAATTTTCCAAGCTGTTTAAAGGCACAGTCAACTTCTGACCCACTGGAATTGTGATACAGTGAATTATAAGTGAAATAATCTGTCTGTCAACAATTGTTTTAAAAATTACTTGTGTCATGCACAAAGTAGATGTCCTAACCGACTTGCTAAAACTATAGTTTGTTAAAAAGAAATTTGTGGAGTGGTTGAAAAACGAGTTTTAATGACTCCAACCTAAGTGTATGTAAACTTCCGACTTCAACTGCACATGTGGGTAGAGTTAAAGTGATTATGCATAGATAATAAACAGAGAGTAGCAGCAGTGTAAAAGAGGGGGTGGGGTGTAGTGCCTTGTGGTCGGAGGCCGAGCAGTTGCCATACCAGGCGGTGATGCAACCATTCAGGATGCTCTCGATGGTGCAGCTGTAGAACTCTTTGAGGATCTGAGGACCCATGCAAAATCTTTTCAGTCTCCTGAGGGGGAATAGTCTTTGTCGTGCCCTCTTCAGGACTGTCTTGGTGTGTTTAGACCATGATAGTTTGTTGGTGATGTGGACACCAAGGAACTTGAAGCTCTCAACCTGTTCCACTACAGCCCTGTCGATGAGAATGGGGGCATGCTCAGTCCTCTTTTTTTTTCTGTAGTGCACAATCATCTCCTTTGTCTTGATCACGTTGAGGGAGAGGTTGTTATCCTGTCACCACACGGCCAGATCTCTGACCTCCTCCCTATAGGCTGTCTCATCATTGTCGGCGATCAGGCCTACCACTGTTGTGTCGTCTGCAAACTTAATGATGGTTTTGGAGTCGTGCCTGGCCATGCAGTCATGGGTGAACAGGGAGTACAGGAGGGGACTGAGCACGCACCCCTGAGGGGCCTCCGTGTTGAGGATCAGCGTGGCAGATGTGTTGTTACCTACCCTTACCACCTGGGGGTGGCGCGTCAGGAAGTCAAGGATCCAGTTGCAGAGGGAGGTGTTTAGTCCCAGGGTCCTTAGCTTAGTGATGAGCTTTGAGGGCACTATGGTGTTGAACGCTGAGCTGTAGTCATTTTGTTACGTTACAGCCTTATTCTAAAAATGTTCCCTAATCTACACACAATACCCCATAATGACAAAGCAAAAACAGGTTTTTAGAAATGTTTGTAAATGTATTAAAAATAAAAAACTGAAATATAACATTTACATACAGTACCAGTCAAAAGTTTGGACACACCTACTCATTCAAGGGTTTTGCTTTATTTTTACTATTTTCTACATTGTAGAATAATAGTGAAGACATCAAAACTATGAAATAACACATATGGAGTCATGTAGGAACCAAAAAAGTGTTAAACAAATCAAAATATATTTTATATATGAGATTCTTCAAAGTAGCCACCCGTACTTTCAGTATTCAGACCCTTTACTCAGCACTTTGTTGAAGCGACTTTGGCAGCGGTTACAGCCTCAAGTCTTCTTGGGTATAACGCTACAAGCTTGGCACACCAGTATTTGGGGAGTTTCTCCCATTCTTCTCTTCAGATCCTCTCAAGCTCTGTCAGATTGGATGGGGAGCGTCGCTGCACAGCTATTTTCAGGTCTCTCCAGAGATGTTCGATCGGGTTCAAGTCCGGGCTCTGGCTGGGCCACTCAAGGACATTCAGAGACTTGTCCCGAAGCCACTCCTGCGTTGTCTTGGCTGTGTGCTTAGCATCGTTGTCCTGTTGGAAGGTGAACCTTCACCCCAGTCTGTGGTCCTGAGCGCTCTGGAGCAGGTTTTCATCAAGGATCTCTCTGTACTTTGCTCCGCTAATCTTTCTCTGGATCCTGACTAGTCTCCCAGTCCCTGCCGCTGAAAAACATCCTCACAGCATGATGCTGCCTCCATCATGCTTCACCGTAGGGATGGTGCCAGGTTTCCTCCAAACGTGACTCTTGGCATTCAGGCCAAATAGTTCAATCTTGGTTTCATCAGATAATCTTGTTTCTCATGGTCTGAGAGCCCTTTAGGGGTCTTTTGGCTGTCATGTGCCTTTTACTCTACCATAAAGGCGTGATTGGTGGAGTGCTGCTGAGATGGTTGTCCTTCTGGAAGATTCTCCCATCTCCACAGAGGAAGTCTGGAGCTCTGCCAGAGTGACCATCAGGTTCTTGGTCACCTCCCTGACCAAGGCGCTTCTCCCCCGATTGCTCAGTTTCAGAGTCTTGGTGGTTCCAAACTTCTTCCATTTAAGAATAATGGAGGCCACTGTGTTCTTGGGGATCTTCAATGCTGCAGAAATGTTTTGGTACCCTTTCCCAGATCTGTGCCTCGACACAATCCAGTCTTGGAGCTCTACGGACAATTCCTTCGACCTCATGGCTTGGTTTTTGCTCAGACATGCACTGTCAACTGTGGGTCCTTATATAGACAGGTGTGTGCCTTTCCAAATCTTGTCCAATCAATTGAATTTACCACAGGTGGACTCCAATCAAGTTGTAGAAACATCTCAAGGATGATAAATGGAAACAGGATGCACCTGAGCTCGATTTCGAGTCTCATAGCAAATGATCTGAATTCTTATGTAAATAAGGTATTTCTGTTTTAGTACATTTGCAAAAAAATATAAAAACCTGTTTTCGCTTTCTCATTATGGGGTATTGTGTGTAGAGTGATGAGGTTATATATATATAAAAAAAAAAGAATAAGCCTGTAACGTAACAAAATGTGGAAAAATCAAGGCGTCTGATTTTTTTCCTAATGCACTGTACATAACCAAACAATGTTTGCAGTGTGAATCTGTGAAACAAAAAGAAACACAGCTACATATCAGTTTAACTATGCTGCCTTTCTCAATGGGAGGAAGTCTATTTATCTGCTACTGGCAGGGTCTGATTTAATAGGGTCTTAGCTACGTTATGGGGGAACCTGATCCTGAATGTTAAAAACACAAAGATGGGGCCTTGTACGTGACTCTGTGACCTGTCTGTGAGTTGGGTGACCTTTGACATTTGACTCCTGTGTGTCTGTCTGACCGTGTTTTATTTTTCTGTGGTGATCTGGGTTTCTACCACGTTAGCCCTTATAATCACAGCTGTCACTCAAGCATTCATCCCCCACATCTCTCTCCCCTCTTCCTTTCTCTCTCTCTCTCTCTCTCTCCTCTCCTTGTCTCGCTTGTCTTCTTGTCTCGCTCTCTTGTCTTTCTCTCTCGCTCTCATGTCTGCCATCTCTCTCTCCTCATCTCTCCTCTCATCTCCTCTCTCTCTCTTTCTCTCTCTCTCAATCTCCTCTCTCTCTCTCTCCTCTCTCTCTCCCCTCTCTCTCTCCTCCCGTCCCTCTCCCTCTCTCTCTCTCTCTCTCTCTTCTTTGTCTTGCACAAAACACACTCAGCGTCACGAACACAGACTAAGTTCGCCCTGCTGGAGGTCAGACAGGGAAAATGCTATTATCCCTGGTAATTGGTGTGTGTGTTGTGTATGCGTGCATGTGCGTGTGTGTGTTGTGTGTGCGTGTGTGGGTAATTGAAAACATTTCTCCCCCCTCTTAGCTCAGGGTCCTCTGATGGCGGTTGATGATTATAACTGGATGCTGTGTAATCCCACAGACTTGTGCAGCGTGGATAGCCCCCCCCCCCCCCCCCCCCCAGCCTCCATATCCCTCTCCCCCACTATCCTCTCCATCCCAATTCCCTCACCTCACCTCACCCCACCCCACCCCACCCCTCCACTCTCCCTCCCTCTCTTTTTCTGTCTCAGTAATTGTTGGCTGAGTGCTGAGTTGGGAGATAGGAAAAGTGGGAAAGATGGAGGCAAAAGGGAGAACGAAAGAATGTTGATGAACAAGGATCCCTCCTTCTCTTTGTCCTAATGCTCAGTTGACATGGTGGAAATAGTTTCAGGTAACGATGCGGTAACGTCTTGGTAACGATGTGGTAACGTTTTGGTAAAGTTTAGGTAGCACACACACACACCTCACCCTCTCCTAAACCACCAGCCCTCCAGCCCCAGGGCTCAATGCCATTCGCTGGTCCTGCCAAGTACCCGGCCGCCTCAGTGATTGACAGGCTATTTGGCCCAATCGGTGTCCTGGCTGTCTGAAACGCACCTCTCACATAATCCCTCTTTTGTCCTACTCTTCTGGTCCAGTACCCTTGGGTGGAATACAACCCTCTAGACTTCCCAGCTATTATGGAAACGGGTACAGTAGAGAGGAACTCCTTGAAAGCTGAGCCTTCAAATCAAGCTGTCAATCAAGAGGAAAGGGTAGCGCCGTCGCCAGAGTCGGAAAAGTGTCAGCTAGGTTACAATTTGAGGCATGTGTAGTGTAGTGTAGTGTAGTGTAGTGTAGGCCTTATGGGCTGAGAACCTGGCTCAGAGGAGACACTGGGCCAAATGGGGTGACATTTGTTTGTTAATTGTGTTGGAATGCCCATGGCTTTGGTTACATTGCACCTCGCAGCCCTGCCAATAAAGCATAGTTTAATTCTAGAGAGGGAGGAGGGGCGGCTATGTGATATTTGTGTAACTCTTGTGTGGTAACTTCTCTCTTCTCTATTAGTTTGATGATAGCCAGCCATAAGGCATTGGTGAAATGTCTGGGCTTCAGAGGAGGAAAATTAAGACAGATGGGTAGAGTTAGAGAAAATGAATAGAAGATACCAGCTGGTCCTCTGTAGCTCAGCTGGTAGAGCACAGCGCTTGTAACGCCAAGGTAGTGGGTTCGATCCCCGGGACCACCCATACACAAAAATTTATACACGCATGACTGTAAGTCGCTTTGGATAAAAGCGTCTGCAAAATGGCATATTAGATAGAAACCGCAGTCAGCTTGTTGAATTGCCGAGAAAGAGAGAAAGATGTTAAGTAGATATGATTGAATGAAAGCAACATAACACAGTGCGTGGGGTGTGTACTGTGTGTGTATCTCTTTGTACCTTGTCTCTCTCACTATCTGTGTTCTTGCAGCCTGTAAGATTGGCTACTGTCATGCCCTGGCCACAGACGGCGCCTGCTCCAAGTAGAATTTTGGAAGCGTTGTAGTTGCGTTCCCTACTGTTGAATTACCCAGTGCCAGTCACAGCTGATGGCTCCCTCTCTCCCTCTCTCCCTCTCTCCTACGCTCGCCCTCTCCGTCTGGATAATTCTGGGAGCACCAGGTATGGCCAAAGGTAGTGTGCGTGGAATGTAGGAGAGCAGGGAGCTTCTGGAATGTGTCTGTGATTGAAAATAACATTATATAATAACCTGTCATAAAGTTATACAGCGCAGCATGACTTACCATGGGAACAAATAGCAGACAGACACAGACACATCTTACTGACAAACACACACTCCAAAACTGACACACACACACACACATACACACACTGCATTATCTCCTGTGCTCAGTCATGGACCCAAAACCCCATTGTGCTGGGGATAAAACCAGCTCACATACATATGACCTTAGTCCTCTACCGTTTATGACAGAATGGCACTAAGAAAATCGATCTGTTTAATAGCTCAGTATTCTAGCAGGAAACCACAGAGGAAGCAGAAATAGGAAGACTGCTACAGTGAACCTTACATGACAAAAGATCATTACAGTGATGGTTCTGCAGCCACCGCCACCTTAATATAGAAACCCTCATCTGTAACTGACTGGATGGAGGGGTGAGGGAAGAGAGGAGAGGGGATGAGGGAGGGAGGGAGGGATGTTTCATCATAATGTTTAATGAGAACTGATAGTGGATTGTCAGAAGAGGGAGGGTTTGAAGGTAGGGGTGATGCTAATATTAACCCAACACACACACACACACACACACACACACACACACACACACACATTCACACACACACACACATTCACACACACACACACACACACACTCACTCACTCACACACACACACACACACACACACACACACACACACACACACACACACACCACACACACACATTCACACACACACACACACACACACACACACACACACACACACACACACACACACACACACACACACACACACACACACACACACACACACACTATACATGAGGACCAACTCAATTCCACACCAGTTCTCCTCTTTCCTTTCTATCTCTCTCTCTATCCCTCCATCCTAAAGGAGAGAGCACTGCTCACTTCCATCCAAACCATCTCTATAGACTATAAGGAGCCGTTAGATTGGAACGACCTCCTCTCTCTCTCTCTCTCTCTCTCTCTCTCTCTCTCTCTCGCTCTCTCTCTCCTCCCCAGTACAGCCCCTGTCCTCCATACTAATCAGTGGCTTTTTGCTTCCTGGTGAACAGACGGTGTTTGTCTTCTCCTTCTGCCCCCCCCCTCTCTCTCTCTCTCTCTCTCTCTGTCGTCCTCTTCTTTACTAGTTGTAAATGCATGGACTATCACCAGATTCACCACACAAACACCCATACTGACACACTCACATGCACACACTCCTCCAGTCGTTCTCCCCCCCCCCCCCCCCCCCCCCTCTCTCGCTCTGTTTCTCTGTGTAATCATTTATTGCCACGTCGCCCCTCCAAAAATAACACTGATAATTAATTTCCATTGTGAAATGATTCGTCAGTAGATGGACTGGCATTCATATTTCACCCCGTGTCGATCCCTTTGCTCGCCCATGTGACCTTCATTAGTCAGAGAGAGGGGGGGGGGGGGGGTTAACTTAATGACTGTTTGCCATGTTTGAAAGCAACATGTGAACTAGGAGTGGACAGTGTGAAACATTATAAAAAACAGACCCTAGATCAAGGCCACTTCTTTATTACTGGGATTGAAAAAACAAACTCTGTCAAATCCCTAAACAGATCTGGGACCAGCTGGGTTAGGCTCACTGCCATGGTAACTAATTACACATCTACCACATTAATGGAACACAATCAGTTCAGGGATTACATTTCAATTGATATCCTGACTAAACCAAGTTGAAGTTGGACTTCCTAACTTCCCAGCCCTTTTCAAAAGAAAATAAGACCTCAGGAATAGTTGGGTTAGCAGTGACTGCAAACTATAATTAGGATTTAATCACTTAGCTACAGCCCCAAAGACAAACACTATTATTGAATTCCCCAAAACAAAGTGTTTTAATTTCAACTATTTAGTGTTGTCTTTATTTGCAACACCAAAGTCTACTCAGTCACTTCAAACCTAGTCTCTTCTCACAGCTGCTTTGTCTGACAGTTACCCATGAGTTTGGTAAAGTGAGAGTACTTCAGACCAGCTCTCTAACGCTGCACCTTTCTCTCCCTCCTCTCTGTCCCAGGACCCCCGACGGCGCCACTCCACCTCATCTCCAACGTCAATGAGACATCGGTCAACTTGGAGTGGAGCACCCCTCTCTCCTCTGGCGGACGCCAGGACCTCAGCTACAACGTGGTGTGTAAACGTTGCGGGCCCGAGGGGACACGGTGTCAGCCCTGTGGGAACGGGGTCCACTTCAGCCCCCAGCAGCTGAGCCTCAGGGCCACCAAGGTGTCTATCAATGACCTGCACGCTCACACCAACTACACCTTTGAGATCTGGGCTGTTAACGGGGTCTCCCAACAGAGCCCTGGACCTGAGCAGGCCGTGTCGGTGACGGTCACTACCAACCAGGCCGGTGAGTTGGGGTTGGGGTTGGTTGGGGGGAGATGTGTGTTGGTGGGGAGAGAGAGATGCTGGAGACTGTTGTTGTTGGTTGTGTTGTCTTGGTAAAGGCTGAGATGTGCTTTGAATGTTTGAATTTTATTTTATTTTAAGGGGAATGGGGAATCAGGCAACATTTCCATTCTAAGGAATTGTATTGATTTGGTTAGGCTTAATTAAGTTGTTGTGGTCTGTTGGGTAGGGCAGTGTCTGTGTATTGTTCCAGTGGAATGGGATCATGAATACCGCGCCTGGCCCTCTACAACCACACTAGAGCTCTCTGCCTGGTGGTGCGCTGAAAGGCCCCTGTTGTTTTGTCGTTCTGCCATTTTTTCTCCAGTTGTTGTGCAAATGTGTTTTACGGCTGTGACCTTTCCTTTCCCCTGATAGATGATTATTACCTCTGGTTTTACTGCGGTGCTCTTGGGTGGCGGGCTAAGTGCCTTTTTGTGTTGCTATTTTGATCCCTGGGAAAAGAGAAGATCTCTTTCTGGTTAGGACAGTGACTGGATGATTCTGACTGGCTATTTAAGGACAGGATGGCTTGATTTATCTGGTCTGGGGAGAAAGATTAATGGATCTGGAGCTGCTGTGAAACCAGTTGTCCTGTGAGCCAAACCTATGTCAGAGTTGTATTAGTTAGGCCCCCCCCTACACACACACACACACACACACTAACATCCCCCTGTGTAGCTCTGGGGTGATCACCTCACTTTAAATATTAAGATATATAAATGATGTTGCCTTTGGCTCGTCACTGAAGCATGTTTCACAACTGTTCTCCATTCTCTAATACTTACATTAAGTTGGCCCTCTGCAGCTGGAGGCATTGGGAGTGTGTGTGTATGTGTGGTCATGCTTGTGCGTGCATGTGAGGCAAAAATGTCTGCGTGTGCAGGTTATTTTGTGTGTTGTGTAGAATGTGTGCGTGTGTGTGTTAGAGAATGCGTGTGTGTGTCTGAGAAAGTGTGTGTGCGGGTTGAAGAGAATAGCACCAGAGTTTGTTGGCTTTCTCCCCTAATACTCAGTAGGGGTTTTCAGAGCTCTGATTTCACCCCCTGTAATCCAGACAGTCATCTGTGGCTGTCCCTCTCTCTATATCACCCCCATCCAGACACAGTGGATTACACATTTATTATGATAGATTTGTTATGATATGCTCTGTGAAAAGCCACTTGGGCCACCACCCTTGATCAAGACTCAGGTTTCTGTAGGGAAGAGTGCAGAGGGTGGGAGAGATTTCTAATTTCACCATGAACAATCCCCCTCGTAAATCAGACAGGGTGTAACCCCTTCACCCCTCTGGATGAAGTAAGGGATTTGTGTGGAGTTGAGGGGTGGCGGTCAGGGTTTTGGGAGGATGTCCAGCTTTGTGCCGACCTCAGGCTGTAAATGGATGTTTAGAAAGTTTACGAGATCCAGAGTCTTTACTCTACATCTTGTGTGTCTGTGTGTGTGTGTGTGTGTGTGTGTGTTTGGCTGTGTGTGTCTGTGTGTGTGTGTGTGTTTGGCCGTGTGTTTCTCTCTCTCTCTGTGTGTGTGTGTGTGTGTATGTCTAATGTGTTGAAAAGGTAGTGAGTTAGTATGTGCAAGTGTTTGTCATTGTGTGTGTGTGTGTGTGTGTTTCCATCACTATGCTGAATCGGAAATGCATGTGAACATGGGGACGTTGTCACGACTGTCTGTGAGATGCGGTAAACGAAGTCAGGCGCAGGACACAGAACTCTCGGATACGTACTTTTAATACGAAAAGGATTCAAAAGGACACAGAAAATAACTCCACGCAGGGAGGAAATAACCCGCTCACAAAATAGACAACCGTGAAGGGGAAAACAATAACACACAAAGTACAGATGAGAGACAGGGGTAATTATAAGGGAAACAATTAACATAATGACGAACAGGTGTAAACAATACAGACAAAACTAAACAAACCCCAATAACATCGAACGGCAGCAGCTAGTACTCCGGGGACGACGAACGCCGAAGCCTGCCCGAGCAAGGAGGAGGAGCAGCCTCGGCAGAATCCGTGACAGTCGTGGGTGGAAGGAGACTTTATTGGGGATCTCATATGGGGAAACATTTTCTCGATGCCCTGAAAAACAGCTCCCACTTCGCCTGTTTTTTCCTCTGCTGCAGCAAATCAAATGATTCCAATCTGGCAACCAGACTCCAATATGGCACCCACATGTGCTCCCCAGCCTTTGTTTCTTTAATGTCAAACCAGAATCCACCACATATTCTCCCAACCACACGGTCTGACCACAGCTGGTCCAGTTACCTGAATATCTCAGAACGAACATGTTCACAAAGACAAACTAATTCACTCAACTCTCTCCCTCTCTTTCTCTCTGCAAGACAAACTAACTCATTCAAGAGCGTAACTTATTCACAGGGTCCAACTCTTTCTCACTGTGACATACAGACTCAGAAAGTAGCTCAAAAAGTAGCTAGCTCAACAAACTTACCCACCAAGACATTTCCATCCATCCAGGGAGCAAACATTCAACCAATCTCAGTTTGTCTGTTTTGCTCGTTCCCAGCTCTACTAATGTGTCTCTGCTTGCTAATATATGCATGGGCTGCTGTGTGCAATTGAGTTTCTCCACTGTCTGTGAGCGATAATGTGAGTATGTGTATGTTTTTTATGTGTGTTTCCATCTGTCTGTTGGTATAATGAGTTTGTGTGTGTGTGCACACGTGCATGCATGCTTGGGTGTGTGTGAGTGAGTGTTGCGGCGGGCGAGCTGTGAAAGAGTTTTTGGAGCACATTATTGGGAAATGAGATCTGAATATTCATTGCTTTTCCACTTAGTATTCCAGAAGCGTTTTAGCCCACGCTTTCAGGAGGCGTTAAGACATTACAGATCTGCCCCACATTCAGCTCTGTGTACAGAGGTGCCGGCCAGCCAACTAGTTTACAACGGTTACATCTCTAATCTCCTACATCGCCTGTGTTATTTTGATCCTGGCCGAGTGTTTGGCGTGTGATAGTGACACAAGGTGTGTGTGAGTGTTTTATCTCCTCTAAACTTTTCCCTGATTGATAGTACAGTGTGTGTCCTTCCATTGTAAACTTCACCTCCTCTATACCGAGCCTCAGAAGGAACCACTCACAGAATCACTCATCTTTAACTTCACTTTAGCCTTTGGAAAAAAAGCAACAAGAGGACCAGAACACGTTTAAATCGCCATATCTGTCATCTTTGGAGAAAAAATGGATGTGTGGATTACCTAAGGGGAATGGGCCGGCTAACCCTTTGGGTTTCTTTCTGGTCGGGAGCGTCCCTGGCCACCTCCGGGGGGCCCTTCAAAGTGGGTCTGGCTGCCAGGCGCCCTCCAGTAAGATTGATTTGAGGGTTACAAATGGCCACCGTTCTAATTGTTTAACAGAGGCAACACTTTAGCCCGACCGGCAGGATGACACAACCCAGGGAAATCTATTTACCGCCGCTCGCTCTGAGAGCTGTCTGTACACCCCCCCACCCCTTTACCGCCGCTCGCTCTGAGAGCTGTCTGTACACCCCCCCACCCCTTTACCCCTGCTCGCTCTGAGAGCTGTCTGTACACCCCGCCACCCCTTTACCGCCGCTCGCTCTGAGAGCTGTCTGTACACCCCCCCACCCCTTTACCGCCGCTCGCTCTGAGAGCTGTCTGTACACCCCCCCACCCCTTTACCGCCGCTCGCTCTGAGAGCTGTCTGTACACCCCCCCACCCCTTTACCGCCGCTCGCTCTGAGAGCTGTCTGTACACCCCCCCACCCCTTTACCGCCGCTCGCTCTGAGAGCTGTCTGTACACCCCCCCACCCCTTTACCGCCGCTCGCTCTGAGAGCTGTCTGTACACCCCCCTCTACCCTGTTCCAGACCCATCGCCCCCCTCCAACCCCCACCGCCCCCACCACTGAAACCTAACCCATCGTTGGTGCTTGGATTCCAGGCCTGGTTGAACTCAATCCCTCCCTAAAAGCCTGGTTGTGTTAACATTAGAGTGAACACTAGCCTCCCAGGACAGTAACCCCTGGACTGGTCAGGGGGAATACAATGTATATATTGTCACAGATAATCCAATCATAATCAAGGATGAGGGTCGCCTCATTAATCACAGCAGTGTAATTGTTTAAAAGGCAGCAGCAGGAAGACTGTGTAGGATAGCAAGGTTACGGTAACCAGAGTCACGGGTCAGAGATTCACTTAGCCTCTACAGTAGACCTACTCTAGCTAACTTTAAATGGCAGACGGTAGGCTACCGAACCATCAGCAACAACGTTTTAAGCTTTGGGGATGTGAGGATAATGTAAGGTAGACTATGGTAGAGATTCAGGATAGTGTGTGTGACTGGGTCTGTGTGTGACTGGGTCTGTGTGTGACTGGGTCTGTGTGTGACTGGGTCTGTGTGTGACTGGGTCTGTGTGTGACTGGGTCTGTTTGACTGGGTCTGTGTGTGACTGGGTCTGTGTGTGACTGGGTCTGTGTGTGACTGGGTCTGTGTGTGTAATGTGTATATATGGGGGAAGGGTTAATGGGTGTTGAAGCTTTGCCAAGGTTTTATTTGGAGGCTGTTGAGCAGGCGAAAGGCTGGAAGGGTGTATGTTTCTCCCTGAAGGGCTCTACAGTGCGAACATTTTACTTGCATATGCGTCTAAATATTTTGCTGTGCGACCTGGAATTTTTATTTAGGAGCACCAGTGCGCCTAGAAGAATGAAGGATTCTAGCTTCAATATCTCAAATATTTTTCAACTTAGGTGCACACGTGCTCCTTGTAAAAAAGGTCAGCGTAGAGCCCTGCCGTGTCTGAAGACGTCTTTGAACTCCACCGTCCAGCTCTACCTGACTGTGTGTGTGTGTGTGTGTGTATGTGTACTCTGCCTGTCTGTTTGTCTGTGTGACCCTCTATCTATAACTGTATTTCTCTTTCCTTGGGCATGAGTGTGTGCTGGTCTTTTGTAGGCTCCGCCTCTGCATTTGTCAGTGCTTTTCGATCAGTAAGTGGATGTTTTTTTCCCAGACAATGAAATCCATATGGATGATGTGTCTCTGTAGTGTCGTCTGTGCCTGACTCTGACCCAATTTGTGTGTTGTCAGTCTCTGAGCTAGAGGTTTGACTTTTGGAGCGAGTTGGGAGGGAGTGAGTGTGAGCTGTTATCTGTGTTTTAACCTTCACATGTTAAAGGGGGAACACAGAGCAGCTGGTTGAAATACTGTTTCACTATGGGCTGCTGTAGAATGGGCTTTAGATAATGATCTCTGCCTACGTTTAATAAAAAACTATTGATTGGCAAGAAGACAGAGCAGCAACAGCAAGGGAGCAGGGGAGACGTCATAGCAATGCAGTGGTTTCCCAGGGTGACCGAAGAATCTTTGGAATTGGCGGGGCAGGAAGTGAGATAGTCCTTAGCTTAGCTTGGAGCATCTGCTGTGTGGAGAAGAAGGGAGATGGATCTGAAACTAACCTTGTAGCCGTAGGCAATGGGATGGTTTGTTTTGATGCTTTCCAACCATTTGGCTTAGCAATAGAGCTTCACCATTGGACTCCTTAGGTGTAGCATTGTAGCCGTAGCCATTTAGCTGTACAGCGCCTAAGCCCTTTGACTGGGAGCCAAGCTGACAGACAGACAGAGTTGATTGCCTCATGGCATGTTCTGGTGACATTCTCAGCAAGAGCAATAGGAAAGAAACAGACTTAGGGGCTCAGAGGGTCAAAACAACAAGACAGCAAAGGTCAATGCTAAAATCTCTCTCTCTTTTTCTCTTTTCTTTCTGTCCATAGCCCCGTCTCCCATCAACTCCATCCAGGCCAAGGACATCACCAGACACACCATCTCCCTGGCCTGGCAGCAGCCTGAGAAAGCCAACGGGGTCATCCTGGAGTATGAGGTCAAATACTACGAGAAGGTGAGGTGGGAAATGCAGTTCTCTGGGAATGCAGTTTTTTTCCTCAGGCTTCAGAATAACATTGAACCTGACAGGTTGATAATTCTACATTTTTATGAACAGTGAAAAGGTGACAATCCGACACTGTAGCCTCTCAGGAATCTAAAGTAAGAACATTTGTCATGCCAGGAAAACCACCTCAATTATTTTCATCCCTCTCTCTCCTTCAGGACCAGAATGAGAGGAGTTATCGCATTATCAAGACGTCGTCCAGGAACACTGACATCAAGGGCCTGACTCCTCTGACCTCCTACGTGTTCCACGTGCGCGCTCGCACCGCCGCCGGCTACGGAGAGTTCAGCGCTCCCTTCGAGTTCATGACCAACTCTGGTGAGTGGAGCGCTACCTTGACAGCATCACACAATTCACTGTGATGATGTCATAGTGACACAGAGCAAGTGTAAACATGTGTTCTGTTTTAGCACACGCTACCCACTTACATCTTTCTCACCACTTCTAACATGTTGGAACATTAATGATATAGTCATAACGTCAGATGCTGATATTACCTGTTTTAATACATCTGAATAACACCTAAACATTCAACAAACATTCAAACTCATAAGTATAATATTGACTGTTATGAACAATCCTGACCTACAATAAGAGGCCCTATGTCATCTGATCGTCCAATGTGGGCAGGATGACGTCTGTTCTGTCCTGTAGTGAAACATTGGGATCCGTCTAGGCACAGGTGTCTCTTTGTGATGAGATAGAGATAGTGGCCCATGATAATGACACACTGAAGCACACAGCTCTTTGCTCATTGGAATGGTACTGCATTGTGTCTCAATGGGCCTCTGAGAAGCACAATACTTTATGGGGACTCATAACATGGAGGATAGGGAACAAGGACAAATACTCTGGGCCACACACAGAGGGAGAGAGGAAGGGAGAGGAGGTTAATGACGATGGCAAATAGAACATCTACTGTAGGTTTTACATCTCTGGACCTGATTAGACTGAATGATATTGACTTGAATCTATATTGACCGAGAGGGAGGGAGAGAGAGCGAGAGAAAGCGAAGGGGGGAAAGGGAGAGAGAGCGAGCGAGAGCAGCGACGCGGTATCGAGAGGAGCGAGAGGAGAGACGAGAGAGGAGCAGAGAGAGAGAGAGAGAGAGAGAGCGAGAGCGAGAGAGAGCAGCGAGAGAGCGAGAGAGAGAGGATCAGAAGCGAGCGAAAGGGTATCTCTCTCTCTCCGTAATACCTCTCTATCTCCTATGTCTTCTATCTCCTCTCTTTCAACTCCTCTCTTCCTCTCATATTCAGTTCCAGCTCCTATCATCGGAGATGGGACTAACTCCACAGTGTTGCTGGTGTCTGTGGTGGGCAGTGTTGTTCTCCTCCTCATCCTCATCAGTGCCTTCGTCATCAGCAGGAGGTGAGACTCTCATCCCTCTCTCTCTCTCTCTCTCTCTCTCTCTCTCTCTCTCTCTCTGTCTCTCTCTCTCTCCCTGTTTTATTTCTCTCCATCTTGCCTCTGTGATGAGAATGTCTTGCTGGGCAGCTGCAGAGGCAGGCTTGAAAAAGTGGCTGTCACACGTCGACGATAGGTACACACACACACTAACACACAGCCCCAGTGAGTGATGTGTAGCCACACCTGAGACATGATTGACGGTGTGACAGCTGAAGAGATGTAATCAGCGACCCTCACTCCTCTTCTCCCACTACATCGCCTCTTTCCTCTCTCCCCCTCTCCTCCCTCCATCTCTATCCCTCTATCTCTCGCTATGGCTGTAATATGGGGTGGTAGTTAGTTTCTGTGACCTGCGGGGAGATGGAGAGCGAGAGAGACAGTGAGAGAGTAGGAGAGATAGAGAGGGGCAGAAGAAGAGAGAAAAAGTGAGCGAGAAGGAGGCAGCAGGTGGATCTGCAGTGACCCAATCAGAGGGTGTTAACCAGTGAGCAGTAGAGCAGGACAAAGCAGTGACACACAGATGGGATTACATGCAGATGGGGTCTCTCTCTTCACGCTTTAACCACGCTCTGTCTTTTACTGGCCAGTGTTTGTTTGTGTGTGTGTGTGTGTGTGTGCACTCCTGTGTGATTGCACACTTCTATATGTATGAGATAGAGAGAGTGTGTGGGCGATGGAGAAGGGGGATGTTTGTGTGTGTGTGTGTGCGCGCTTATGTGTGTGTGATTGCGGCTCTTCCAGCCAAGCAGGTGGCCGTCTTTGATTCATATTAATTGACGGTAACTGTCTGTCATTGTGTCTTGACCATCCTGTGGGGGAGGGGTGGGTAGCGCTCTGCGTGGCTCACAGAGCTGTTTAACAGTCATTAAAAGGACAGAGAGGCACATTGTCATGTTTAAAAGTCATTAGTGCAACATTGTCCTGCACATCTGGTGGTCTTAGACAGCCAGTGAACACATCAATAATAACACCATGGACTTGCTCTGTGCTGATGAACCTAGCTAACCACGTCGGCCATGTTGTTTTTGTCCCCAGAAAGAGTAAGTACAGCAAGGCCAAGCAGGATGCTGATGAAGAGAAACACCTACACCAAGGTAGACCACTCACTGTACTCAACCTATGCTAGTAGAAACGTTCACTGATCAGCGACATCATTCGTTATTTCATTGTTGCTAGAAGAGCCTCTGAAAAAATTGTGAATGAAATGTGTATTCCAAAAGTAATGCCATATAACATTCATCACAGTATTCTCCAGTGAAAACCTATTGACAAGACAAATACATTAATATTATTTTAGACTCTTATTATTTAACTCTGAAATTAGAGTTATTACACCAATCTAACAGAGACATTGGATGGAGAGATGAGGAATTAAAGGATAAAGGAGAAGAGAGAGGTGAAAGAGAGGAAGGCAGTATAAAATGAAGAACAGAGGGGGCTCTATTGGTCAGAATGCATTAACCTTCCCTTTTCTCTCCTCCTTTCTCTCAGGAGTGAGGATATACGTAGACCCCTTCACCTACGAAGACCCCAACCAGGCTGTCCGAGAGTTTGCCAAGGAGATTGACGCTTCCTGTATCAAGATTGAGAAAGTCATTGGCATCGGTACGGACTGGACTTACTAATGCACATACTTTTACTATGTCAACATGACCGTTCTGTCAGACTGGTAATATTTGGCCAGACTCATTGGGTCAATAGACAATAAAATGACTTGGGAGGGAAAATATAATGTTCCTGTTTTCCCCTGTCTGCCAGTGGAAAAAGTCAGCTGGTGCTCGACTGAGAAGGAGGGATTGGGGATCAGAGGGGGTCGATCAATTATTAAAGTACAGCCCCCTTTCCCACCCCCACCTGTTCCCTTCTCTCCCTCTAGTAGAAATAAGTGTGTGGTATCTGTGTTATTAGGTTTTTTCTTGACCATGTTGAAAATATGTGAGTTTGATAAGGTGTGTGTTTTTGTGTGTGTTCCAGGTGAGTTTGGGGAGGTGTGCAGCGGTCGTCTGAAGATGCCAGGGAAGAGGGAGATCTGTGTGGCCATTAAGACACTGAAGGCAGGATACACAGACAAGCAGAGGCGGGACTTCCTGTCTGAGGCCAGCATCATGGGCCAATTCGACCATCCAAACATCATTCACCTGGAGGGAGTGGTCACCAAGTGTAAGTAGGATCCTGATTGGAGGATTTTTAAAAGGCGTAAATCAAATTATTGTGGAGCTTATAATATAGAAACCCAATCATATACTCTATATTTTTCCTATGGACAACATAAACTATGATTAGACAAAATAAACCTGAAAGGGACAAGCTCATACAATGTCTGTGGTTTTGGGTGACTTTGGAGATAGCAAGGGGGGGAAGGGGGGTTGTTCCCATCCCAGCCCTGTTACCCAGAGGGCCGTGGGTAGGGGGTAGGGGTGGTGTGGGTCCGGACACAGCGCCCATCCTGGGAATCCCCAGGTGGTTGGAGTCCAGATGGAACAGGTCTGATGCAGGTTGGCTACAGGGGCTAATGTGTTCTGCGCTGTAGCTAGCTCATTAATCATGGTGTCAGCTGTAAATATGTTTGGGGTTAGAGAGTGATACCCTATCTGCAGGACAGACCCTCTACTGCCGCCACACCAGACGCTGGCTTCTTACCCCTTCACCCCTTATTGTTTAGAGTGTGTGATGGGGTTAGGGGGTGTATGTGTGGGAAACTAGTTGTGTGTTCAGTTCGTAGTGCATTGCGTGGTGTTTGAGAGAGAGAGTTTGTATTGATGTCATACTGGTTTAGCGTTTTATTTCTTCATGTCTTTTACTATGAATGTGTGTCTGTTCACCTTTGATTAGGTACATGTGTGTGTGAGTGTTACCTCAGAGTCCCAGTTATCTTGCCTGGTTATATGGACAGACTGGTATAGTGGAGGGGGGGAAGGAAAAGGGAGGCTGAAAGACAAGCAGACACTGAGAGAGATGGAGAGAACGAGTAATTGAGATACCAGACTGGAAACAGAAACAGTTTGAGAGTAGAGGACTGCATCCAATTTCCCTCTCCCCTTCCTCCCGTCTTTGTAATGACAAAAACCAGTTTCTCTGCAATTAGTCCTTCACACTTGAGTGTGTCGGTGGAATCTATTAAGAATCCATTATTTGAATTGCATTCCAATCTAGTTAAAAGGGACTTCCATCTCGCCTCAGTACGGCATCACTGCATATCCAAGAGGCCAATTAAGTCTTATTAATTATTGATGAAGACTAAATATGCACTAAATACATAAATAGGCTAAAATCAGAGACTCAGAGTTGAGCCAGAATAGCCTCTCATCTTGGCCTTTTATTTTTCATAGCATCACTCTGACATAATAAAAACCCCTGGCCGTCCATCGTTAGTCGTTAACACTTTGAGCCTTCCCAGCTTTCCTTTAGGATGTGATCAATTTAAATTCCCACATGTACATAATGTAAGCGCTCCTAAATTTATAAGGGTCCTTTTATAAAAAAAATGATCAATAAAAACTACATCCAGTGAGAGTTAGTAGCAGGCCTCTTTGTGTTCTCCCCCGCCATCGGCTCTCTATAATAACGTCCCCCTAACGTTACCTCAACGTTCTCCAAACATTCTCCTATACGTTATCCTCTACCCTCCCTAGCCATTTTTTTGGGCAGGTGATAATTGGCCTATTGGCGGGGCCCCTGCTCAGAGCTCATTGCCAAAGGCGGCGGGACATATTCAGTAAACAAGACATTAGCATGCCAATAGGCTGGGAGGAAGAGGGCGGGGCTGAGAAGGGGCGAGCTGGGGCTCGTAGGTCAGACGCTCCTCAGACTTGGTTGGGGAGCTGTCAATCAGCAGCGGCCCGGGGCAGCAGGGGAGAACAAAACAGAACAAAGATGGTTGACAAATATGGTTGAACTCCACTTCCTCTTTGGGGCGTTGCTATAGCCCTGTAAGTCATGGAGTGCCAATCACGCGCCACACGGAGCCGTGACTGACAGCCTCTTGGCAATCGGATCGGTTCCACTGCAGAGTGGGAGAACTTCACCTTCAGACCCTGAAACTACTAACTACTTTACTCACTGGAACTAGACACTAATAACTAGGAAACACTCTAATAACTCTCAAATGTATTTCTAATAACAGTTCAAATGTGAGTATACATGTTTAAAATCATTAATAATCATAGCACAGTATCTAACAATTCCAAGTGGAGTTAAAAGTAAACTCTTCGCCATGTGTTTGCTGTATGGCTGGTTAGGCAGGCACCATCATGCTAGCGCTATGGGATAAACCACACTGCGCCTCCATCTCTCCCCCCTCCTCCCCTCTACCTCCCAGAGCCACACAAACCTTCACAGAACCACCAGGGAATCTCCCTCCTGCTGAAAGAAAGAGACAGACACTCCCCCGAGAGAGAGGGAGAGAGAGGGCGAGAGAGAAAGACAAAGAGAGAAAGAGAGAGAGAGAGAGAGAGAGAGAGAGAGAGAGTAGAGAGAGAGGGCCGGGATGAGGGAGGGGAGAGGGTAGTGATCTGCTGGAGGAGAGAGATATAGAGAGATAGAGAGCGAGATGATAGGAGAGCACCGATTAGAGATGGGATTTGGTGAGAAAGGGTAACTGAAAAGTATGTGGCAGAGTGACATGGACCAAAAGAGGAAAGTGTGAGATGGGAGAAAGAAACCTAGAGGAGAGGAGGCTGGAGGGAGAGTGACAGAATGTACAGAAGGTTGGCATGAAAGGAGGAAAGGAGCAGAGAGAATGGTGAATGACATAAATAGACAGATTGTCATAGATTCATAGAGATTGTGTATACAGTGCCTTCAGAAAGTATTCATACCCCTTGACTTATTTCACATTTTGTTGCGTTACAGCCTGAATTCAAAATTGATTAAATATATTTTTTTCTCACCAACCTACATATAATACCCCATAATGACAAAGTGAAAACATGTTTTTAGAAATGTTAGCACATTTATTGAAAATGAAATACAGAAATATCTCATTTACATAAGTATTCACACCCCTGCTTCAATTAATTGTAGAAGCACCTTTGGCAGCGATTACAGCTGTGATTATTTCTGGGTAAGTCTCTAAAAGCTTTCCACACCTGGATTGCACAACATTTGCCCATTATTCTTTTCAAAATTCTTCAAGCTCTGTCAAATTGGTTGTTGATCATTGCTTCACAACCATTTTCAGGTCTTGCCATAGATTTTCAAGTAGATTTAAGTCAAAACTGTAACTCTGCCACTCAGGAACATTCACTGTTTTCTTCGTAAGCAACTAGGTTATTGTCCTGCTGAAAGGTGAATTCATCTCCCAGTGTCTGTTGGAAAGCAGACTGAACCAGGTTTTCCTCTAGGATTTTGCCTGTGCTTAGCCCCATTCCCTTAATGTTTTTATTTTGAAAAACTCCCCAGTCCTTAACGATTACAAGCATACCCATAACATGATGCAGCCACCACTTGAAAATATGGAGAGTTGTACTAAGTAATATGTTGTATTGGATTTGCCCCAAACATAACACTTTGCATTCAGGACAAAAAGTGAATGGCTTTGCCACATTCTTTGCAGTATTACTTTAGTGCCTTGTTGCAAACAGGATGCAGGTTTTGGAATATTTGTATTCTGTACAGGCTTCCTTCTTTTCACTCTGTCAATAAGGTTAGTATTGTGGAGTAACTACAATGTTGTTGATCCATCCTCAGTTTTCTCCTGTCACAGCCATTAAACTCTGTAACTGTTTTAAAGTCACCATTGGCCTCATGGTGAAATCCCTGAGCGGTTTCCCCCTCTCTGGCAACTGAGTTAGGAAGGACGCCTGTATCTTTGTATTGACTGGGTGTATTGATACACCATCCAAAGTGTAATTAATAACTTCACCATGCTCAAAGGTATATTCAATGTCTGTTTTTTTTTTTACCCATCTACCAATAGGTGCCCTTCTTTGCAAGGCATTGGAAAACCTCCCTGGTCTTTGTGTTTGAATCTGTGTTTGAAATTCACTGCTGGACTGAGGGACCTTACAGATATTTGAATGTGTGGGGTACAGAGATGAGGTAGTCATTAAACAATCATGTTAAAGACAATTATTGCACACAGAGAGAGTCCGTGCAACTTATTATGTGACTTGTTAAGCAAAGCTTTACTCCTGAACTTATTTAGGGTTGCCATAACAAAGGGGTTGAATACTTATTGGCTCAAGACATTTCAGCTTTAATTTGTAAATTTGTCTAAAAACACTTTGAGATTATGGGGTATTGTGTGTATGCCAGTGGAAAAAAATATCTACATTTAATCCATTTAAAATTCAGGCTGTAACACAACAAAATGTGGAAAAAGTATAGCGGTGTGATACTTTCTGAAGCGACCGTATGTGCACATTTCTTGCGTTTGCTTGTTAGTGTACTTGAGTGTGTGTGTGGTGTGTGTGTGTGTGTGTGTGTGTGGTGTGTGTGTGTGTTTGGTGTTATGTTACAGTAGAGATCCCTTTCCGTGTGTAGAGTAAGTGGTAGACATGAGGACTGTTACACAGAACTAATTAAATCACTACAGGACTGAGACAAATGGTGTACCACACACACACACACACACACACTCACCTGAGAACCACTGCTCTCCTGCTGCGCTGGGCTGTGATGTGCATCATTTACTTACATAATCATCTGCCTTTCATTTTCTCTCTCTCTCTCTCTCTCCTCTCTCTCTCTCTCTCCCTCTCATCTCTCTCCTCTCTCTCTCTCGCTCTCGCTCGCTCTGTCTCACTCTCGCTCTGTCTCGCTCTTTCTTCAGGTAAACCAGTGATGATTATCACAGAGTACATGGAGAATGGCTCGCTGGATGCATTTCTGAGGGTAAGTCATGCAGTGTGTGCGTATTCAACTCTGTGTGTGGTATGTGTCTGCTTACGTATGTTCAGAACTCTAGCGTGACTATTACGGACGATATCCTCTTAATGAATGTCAAACAAGAAACATCATCAAGATTATGATTACTTACTATCTACAATCATCAACACATCCTGCCAGTACACTGCATACAAACATTACCTAACATTAATTTCTTTGTTTGTTTGGTTCTCTAGAAGAATGACGGGCGTTTCACGGTGATCCAGCTGGTGGGCATCTTGCGTGGCATCGCATCAGGCATGAAGTACCTGTCTGATATGAGCTACGTTCACAGAGACCTGGCCGCACGCAACATCCTGGTCAACAGCAACCTGGTGTGTAAGGTGTCTGACTTCGGAATGTCACGAGTACTGGAGGACGACCCCGAGGCTGCATACACCACCAGGGTAAGAGAGCGTATGTGGCTGTAGTGTTAATCAATTTCAGTGTGAGTGTATCTACCTGTCAGCATTTGTATGTGTTTTTATGCTTGTATGTATTTACATTTTAGTCATTTTAGCAGATGCTCTTAACCAGAGCGACTTACAGTTAGTGAGGGGATACATTTTTCATACTGAAATGTATCTATGTCTTTGGTACAGTATGAGCGATACTAACAGCCTGTTACCTGTCAATCACAGGGAGGGAAGATCCCCATTCGCTGGACAGCCCCAGAGGCCATCGCCTACAGGAAGTTCACCTCGGCCAGCGACGTGTGGAGCTACGGCATCGTCATGTGGGAAGTGATGTCATACGGAGAGAGGCCATATTGGGACATGAGTAACCAGGATGTAAGTGTACAATGAGAACATATTCAGGTTTAAAACATCAAATAATAATTATGTTATGTCATAATAAAAAGTATTATCTGTGCAATTGTTATGTTTCCATCCTATTATTCAATTATAATAACATCATCATTACAGTGTATTTAGGATGGCTGAGTAATCCAGCTCACAGTCTACCATCAACCCTAACCTCTGCCCCCTCTCCCCTCAGGTGATCAAGGCCATAGATGAGGGGTACAGGCTGCCCCCGCCCATGGACTGCCCTGTGGCACTGCACCAGCTGATGCTGGACTGCTGGCAGAGGGAGAGGGGCGACAGGCCCAAGTTTGGCCAAATCGTCAACATGCTAGACAAACTGATCCGGAACCCCAACAGCCTGAAGAGGACTGGAGGAGAGACCACACGGTGAGACAGGGATTTCCTGAGAGAGAGAGAGAGAGAGAGAGAGAGAGAAGGAGAGAGAGAGAGAGAGAGAGAGAGAGAGAGAGAGAGAGAGCGAGAGAGAGAGAAGGAGAGAGAGAGAGAGAGAGAGAGAGAGAGAGAGAGAGAGAGAGAGAGAGTGAATTAATGGAACTGAATCCCATAAACAGCTTTTACAGTTAAAGAAGGGGGGAGAAATGTTCTACAGAGGGTACAGGTAGCAACATCTCAAATCCACATACTGGTTCCATGGCTCAAGGAGATGGAGAAAGACCCCCAAAGCACCAGAGTATGTTTCACAATGACTTTCACAACGAAGCAGGGGCCTGTGTATTACCCCCAGAGCTCCCCCCACCCCACCCTGACTCCCTCAACAGTCCCCAGCCCTCCCCCCAGCCAGACAAAAGTGTTGCTTGAACCCAGTGGCCCAAGCCTCTTAGCCAACACCTGTTAAATTATGGAGGAGGGGAGCAGTGGAGCGGGACCGTAGTGAGCGTGCTCAGTCCCTCACCTCGGCCGCACCGTCCCTGGGTAAATATTTGATGGCAGACATCGTTGTGAAGGAGGGATGTAAAAGGAGGGGAAATGTAGTTCTCTGTTGGTGTGTGCTTTTAAAGAACGACACGAGTCATGATGAATATCAAGAGGAGAAGCAGTGTGCGGTTAAAACCACAGTGTGTGTTGTTAATGTTTTCTCTTTAAATAACGATTAACTAACTGTGTCGGTGACACCAGGGAGGAACTGTGTTTCACTTGGCTTCTGTCTTGGAGGACAAATGGAGATGGGACGCATGCTAGCGCTTAGTTTGAATAACCTGCTGATTCCGTCAGAAAAAAAGATGTGTGTGTGTGTGAGAGAGAGGGGGAGAGAGACAGAAAGAAAGAAGAGAGGCTGAAGAATTACAGTTCCTTTTTCAAAGCCTCAGGGTAGACGGCAGTTCACATGTGCCTGGCCCCTGTGATAGGCTAACGTCAGATGATCAGAAACATAATTACCCATGAGGCCAGAGAGCACCGTGTCTCTCCCACCTCCTCAGGTCCTGATTTAATTGGTTGTTCTGGTGTAGTAGTTATGTCTGAGTTACAGGTGAGGTGATGTAGGCCCCGTGTAGCTCAGTTGGTAGAGCATGGCGTTTGCAACGCCAGGGTTGTGGTTTCAATTCCCACGGGGGGCCAGTATGAAAATGTATGCACTCACTAACTGTAAGTCGCTCTGGATAAGAGCATCTGCTAAATGACTAAAATGTAAAATGTAAAAAAATGTAAGAAACAAGAGCAGTGCCATTCTAATCCATCAGTTTCTTACTGCCAAGTCGTTTGACAACAGTTTCTCAAAATGGTGGCTTAGGTAGCTTGATACACAGTTAGTGGGTTGAGGCTTATTCATTTCGGTCAATGGGTAAAGATTGTAGTTATTAAATATATATATATATATATATATTTGGAGGGTCAAAAGAAAACTCACTAAAGATTTAGGTGGGTTAGACAACTGAAAGGTTTAGGTACTGTTGCTTTAATATAGTGGAAATTGTCTGGATGTAGACTGACCATCTCCCCCTCCATCCCTCTCCATCCCCAGACCCAGCACCACCCTCCTGGAGCCAGTCAGCCCGGAGGTGTCCTCGGCCCTGGGCTCTGTTGAGGACTGGCTGCAGGCTATCGGCATGGAGAGATACAGCGACAACTTCACCGCAGCAGGATACACCACCCCAGAGGCTGTGGTTCATATGACACAGGAGTGAGTTATGCTTGGTTTACTCAGCATTTATGCATCCAGGAGAGACCTGTCTGACTTTTTTACTCATTTATATTAGGCCGGGTTGACACCTAGAGAGGCTGTTAAATCTGTCATATGAATCAGGAAGCTGTCATAGTTTATCTTGGTTCCTAATGTTTTCTTTCCTCCTCTTGTTAAAACAGGGACATGGGCCGAATTGGAATCTCCTCAACTGCACACCAGAATAAGATCCTGACCAGCGTCCAGGGAATGCTCTCCCAAATGCAACAGATGCAAGGCAGAATGGTTCCGGTCTGATCCAGGAGAAGGAAACGACTTCATTTCTTACGGATAATAAAAATGAAATATCAAAAGACAAATGAACGATCAAATTGTTTACCTCATCCATGCACTTTAAATTGGATTTAAAAGAAGAAGAAAAGAACCAGAAGAAGAAAAGTGGGAAAAAATTGCACTTTTTATCAGACATTAGACCTTGCCCTATTGAGAATGGGATATTTTTCTGTCCAAGTGGCGCTGGGAATGGGACGGACGGAAAGCTTTTCTGAGAGGCCAACTGGAGTGCCTTCAACGGTCTGGAAGGAATTCAGAGGGGATCGCTCCTCTGGGCAAGGGTAATGTTTCTGTAACGTTCTTTCTGAAATACCCACAGAGCAGATTTTTTTCCCGTAACTGTTAAGTTGTGTGTGTATGAATTGTTCTTTGTGACTCGCTGCCATACCCTCCATTGTCTTTCTCAGCTGGATCTGTTCGAACACCAACAGACAAAATGGAGGATTCCAACCTCGAGATAAACACTGATGTTCTGAATCTGAGAGGTTGAGGGAGGGATGGAGGGGAAGTGGGTTCTGTGTTTTTGCTCTGTTCTGGTCTTGTTTTGTCCCAGATTGGGCTGTTTTGTTGCCCTCAGGACATTAAGCATTTTTCTCAGAATGTCTTTGATCTAAAGAGGTGCATTCATACCCCTTGTCCTCCCAAACCACCATCTCACCCCTCCTCAAACATTTTATTTGGATCATCTTTCATCAGCCCCTCTGGATTACAGCCCGCCCCCCTGGGTCTGATTATTGCTTTATGTTCTTTGACGGACAGCTGTTTGGACCAGTTGGATTCTTACTGTGTATTTGTTTCCTGAACGTTGAACTGAGAGCAAAGGAGTATGGGATTTTTTTGGCCACAACTGTGCACCACTGCGGAGAGATGGATATGTAACAAAAAACAATGACAACGACATCAAAATAAACAAGAGAATACATGCTGGACATTATTCAATCATCAATCACCATGGTAAGAATCTATAAACTACCCTTCCCTCAGTTCTTTTAGCCAAGTTATCGTTACTCATTGTGTATTTATTCCTCGTGTTATTATTTTTCGATTATTTCTCTTGTTTTCTCTCTGCATTGTTGGGATGGGCACGTAAGTAAGCCTTTCACTGTTAGTCTATACCTATTGTTTGCAAAGCATGTGAGAAATAACATTTGATTTGAATTCATTTGATTTTTATTTGACATATCTTTGTTAGTATTAACACAAAAAACTAACAAACTATTAACTATAAAACACTACAGTATGTGAGCTTATTCAGGTCTGAGCTGGATCATTATGTGTATACTGCAGTACTGTTGGATATTACACTTTTTAACCCTCTGCAGTGTATCTATACTGTAGTACTGTCTAACACTATCTGCAGTGTATCTATACTGTAGTACTGTCTAACTCTCTCTCTCTCTGCAGTGTATCTATACTGTAGTACTGTCTAACTCTCTCTCTCTCTGCAGTGTATCTATACTGTAGTACTGTCTAACTGTCTCTCTCTGCAGTGTATCTATACTGTAGTACTGTCTAACTGTCTCTCTCTGCAGTATATCTATATTGTAGTACTGTCTAACTCTCTCTCTCTGCAGTGTATCTATATTGTAGTACTGTCTAACTCTCTCTCTCTGCAGTGTATCTATACTGTAGTACTGTCTAACTCTCTCTCTCTGCAGTGTATCTATACTGTAGTACTGTCTAACTCTCTCTCTCTCTCTGCAGTATATCTATACTGTAGTACTGTCTAACTCTCTCTCTCTGCAGTATATCTATACTGTAGTACTGTCTAACTCTCTCTCTCTGCAGTATATCTATACTGTAGTACTGTCTAACTCTCTCTCTCTCTCTCTGCAGTATATCTATACTGTAGTACTGTCTAACTCTCTCTCTCTCTGCAGTATATCTATACTGTAGTACTGTCTAACTCTCTCTCTCTGCAGTGTATCTATACTGTAGTACTGTCTAACTCTCTCTCTCTCTGCAGTATATCTATACTGTAGTACTGTCTAACTCTCTCTCTCTCTCTGCAGTGTATCTATACTGTAGTACTGTCTAACTGTCTCTCTCTGCAGTGTATCTATACTGTAGTACTGTCTAACTGTCTCTCTCTGCAGTATATCTATATTGTAGTACTGTCTAACTCTCTCTCTCTGCAGTGTATCTATACTGTAGTACTGTCTAACTCTCTCTCTCTCTCTGCAGTATATCTATACTCTAGTACTGTCTAACTCTCTCTCTCTCTGCAGTATATCTATACTGTAGTACTGTCTAACTCTCTCTGCAGTATATCTATACTGTAGTACTGTCTAACTCTCTCTCTCTGCAGTGTATCTATACTGTAGTACTGTCTAACTCTCTCTCTCTCTCTGCAGTGTATCTATACTGTAGTACTGTCTAACTGTCTCTCTCTGCAGTGTATCTATACTGTAGTACTGTCTAACTCTCTCTCTCTGCAGTATATCTATACTGTAGTACTGTCTAACTCTCTCTCTCTGCAGTGTATCTATACTGTAGTACTGTCTAACTCTCTCTCTCTCTGCAGTATATCTATACTGTAGTACTGTCTAACTCTCTCTCTCTGCAGTATATCTATACTGTAGTACTGTCTAACTCTCTCTCTCTGCAGTGTATCTATACTGTAGTACTGTCTAACTCTCTCTCTCTCTGCAGTATATCTATACTGTAGTACTGTCTAACTCTCTCTCTCTCTCTGCAGTATATCTATACTGTAGTACTGTCTAACTCTCTCTCTCTCTCTGCAGTGTATCTATACTGTAGTACTGTCTAACTGTCTCTCTCTGCAGTGTATCTATACTGTAGTACTGTCTAACTGTCTCTCTCTGCAGTATATCTATATTGTAGTACTGTCTAACTCTCTCTCTCTGCAGTGTATCTATATTGTAGTACTGTCTAACTCTCTCTCTCTGCAGTGTATCTATACTGTAGTACTGTCTAACTCTCTCTCTCTGCAGTGTATCTATACTGTAGTACTGTCTAACTCTCTCTCTCTCTCTGCAGTATATCTATACTGTAGTACTGTCTAACTCTCTCTCTCTGCAGTATATCTATACTGTAGTACTGTCTAACTCTCTCTCTCTGCAGTATATCTATACTGTAGTACTGTCTAACTCTCTCTCTCTCTCTCTGCAGTATATCTATACTGTAGTACTGTCTAACTCTCTCTCTCTCTGCAGTATATCTATACTGTAGTACTGTCTAACTCTCTCTCTCTGCAGTGTATCTATACTGTAGTACTGTCTAACTCTCTCTCTCTCTGCAGTATATCTATACTGTAGTACTGTCTAACTCTCTCTCTCTCTCTGCAGTGTATCTATACTGTGTACTGTCTAACTGTCTCTCTCTGCAGTGTATCTATACTGTAGTACTGTCTAACTGTCTCTCTCTGCAGTATATCTATATTGTAGTACTGTCTAACTCTCTCTCTCTGCAGTGTATCTATACTGTAGTACTGTCTAACTCTCTCTCTCTCTCTGCAGTATATCTATACTCTAGTACTGTCTAACCTCTCTCTCTCTCTGCAGTATATCTATACTGTAGTACTGTCTAAACTCTCTCTCTCTGCAGTATATCTATACTGTAGTACTGTCTAACTCTCTCTCTCTGCAGTGTATCTATACTGTAGTACTGTCTAACTCTCTCTCTCTCTCTGCAGTATATCTATACTCTAGTACTGTCTAACTGTCTCTCTCTGCAGTGTATCTATACTGTAGTACTGTCTAACTCTCTCTCTCTGCAGTATATCTATACTGTAGTACTGTCTAACTCTCTCTCTCTGCAGTGTATCTATACTGTAGTACTGTCTAACTCTCTCTCTCTCTGCAGTATATCTATACTGTAGTACTGTCTAACTCTCTCTCTCTGCAGTATATCTATACTGTAGTACTGTCTAACTCTCTCTCTCTCTCTGCAGTATATCTATACTGTAGTACTGTCTAACTCTCTCTCTCTCTCTGCAGTGTATCTATACTGTAGTACTGTCTAACTGTCTCTCTCTGCAGTGTATCTATACTGTAGTACTGTCTAACTATCTCTCTCTGTAGTATATCTATACTGTAGTACTGTCTAACTCTCTCTCTCTCTGCAGTATATCTATACTGTAGTACTGTCTAACTGTCTCTCTCTGCAGTGTATCTATACTGTAGTACTGTCTAACTGTCTCTCTCTGCAGTGTATCTATACTGTAGTACTGTCTAACTATATCTCTCTGTAGTGTATCTATACTGTAGTACTGTCTAACTCTCTCTCTCTCTGCAGTGTATCTATACTGTAGTACTGTCTAACTGTCTCTCTCTGCAGTGTATCTATACTGTAGTACTGTCTAACTATCTCTCTCTGTAGTATATCTATACTGTAGTACTGTCTAACTATCTCTCTCTGCAGTGTATCTATACTGTAGTACTGTCTAACTATCTCTCTCTGTAGTATATCTATACTGTAGTACTGTCTAACTCTCTCTCTCTCTGCAGTATATCTATACTGTAGTACTGTCTAACTCTCTCTCTCTCTCTGCAGTGTATCTATACTGTAGTACTGTCTAACTGTCTCTCTCTGCAGTGTATCTATATTGTAGTACTGTCTCTCTCTCTCTCTGCACTGGTGAGCTCATTGAGTGCTGATCTGTTTGAGTGGTGTGTTAATAAACAAGCAGCCCAGCACCTGAGGCCATAGAGTAGATCAATAAGCCCTGTTCTCAGATCAGTCACTGCTCTAACCCGCCCGGCGTGCGAATGAGGACGGTTAATCACTGACTGAGTCAGCAGACAGCACACCGCAGCCGCTCACACCTGGGTTCAAATACTATTTGAAATCATTTTGAATACTTTTGCTGGGCTTGATTGCGCTTGCCTGGTGCAATTGAACCAATAGAAGAGTAGCAAAACTGCAAACCCTGCCCATCTGGCACTCTAGGCAGGCTAAACCAAAAAGCTTAAAGTATTTGAAAGATTTCAAAT